AACTAACAACTTCATTAGATAATTTTAGGTGATCTATGCATATTATGTGACTTATTTTCTAACGATGTCACTATTGTTATGATAAGTGCTGATTAGATAGAGACGATATTGAAAAAAGCATGTTTATTAAATGTTTTGTCTTCTTTGCTCGTAGAAGTTGGTGGTGTAAAAAATGTATGTATAATATCCAATTAAGATTCGGCATGGCCCTTATCTTTTGAGTCAGATGATTGCAAACGTCGTCGTTTTAAAGTTTAGCTAACATGGTGGTTTTGATACTTGATTTTTGTTTCTTGGTTATGGGCTCGTGGTATTATTAATACATGGGTTCAGAACAGTGGGCTTGATCTTAATGGGCCTGTTTTAGGTTTATGAAAAATGGGCTTAAGGATTCGTATATTGCTTGAATGTTGGTTGCCATACACATATTAATGACTTCAAAGAACATGGGACTATAATTTGGTACCAACCCAAGCAAGGGATTTTGCATGGTTTGGTACCAAAAGGGCATTACCTTTTCTGGCCACTACACCTTCACAGCAAAATCTTAACCATATGCCAGAGTTTGCCAGAGAAGATAGTAATAAAATCTCACAGGTTTTATTGCTTTATGGATGACAGGTACAGACTGAAGTTGCCAATAACTCATGAATGGTGAAATTGCTCACATGACAACTTTATCTAGTAAAATCACGTGCAGCACTAAGATTCTCTCTTTCTATGGATAGAGAATCTCTTTCTATGGATATATTAACCTATATTTTCATCTTCTACTACGTACATGGTTGTATTACAATTGTAAAATTTTGTAATTTTTTTTTCCTTATGTTCTTTTTATAAAAATAATATATTTATATTAGTATTATATAAATTCCCATGCGTATTAGCAACATGCTTACTTTATATTATTATTATTATTATTATCAAAAAGTTATATTTAATTGGTGATGTTTATAATATGTTGAAATTCCAATTGTTGTTTCCTTCTTTTGATTTTTTATTTAGTAGACTTAGATGCTTATTCCAAGGCAGCAAGGTATAAAGAGGAGCTAGGCTCCAAAGAGGGAAAGGAAGAGATAGGCATTTGAGTTGCCCATACAACTGTGAGGCACGACAAACAGCCCAATTCCAAACAAAAATGGCGGCGGAAGGTGAGGCATTGTGGAGGTTCGTTTTCTTGGACATGCTCTTCTGATCAAAGGGCAGAGCCATAATAAATTCTAAGTATATAAAAATAGGGAAACAAATGTAACAACAGGCAGGATTCTTTGTGTCAGTTGTCATATGGAAATACCCTACAAGGGTTTGCGTGTGGCAGGTTTGTACTCTCGGATTGAAAGTTTGGTTGGACATACCACCTTTCTAATGCTTGTATTTATTTCTTTTGCTCACATCTTTTTCAAACTCGTACTAGCTACTACTACTACTACTATTTATTCCTTGCTGCTTAAAGTTGAGTTGGACTAGATCGTGGTTATGTCCTTTCGTTTGGACCACAAACCCTTTCTGCAATTTTTGGCCATTCATATTTGCCATGCCGATCCCCTTTATGATAGCAATCCACCACCAAACACATTATCATGGGATGGGAGGGATGATTGCCTCATACTAAGTAATAAGTCCTTTTCTATAATATAAAAAATAATTGTAACTTAATAGCTTACTTAATTATAAATTATAGTATTATTCTTTTTTTTTTTTTACCTTAGAAAAGTTTGTGTTTATAGTAGTATTGAAAAAGGGGAGCATGGCTTGTAGAAGAATGGTGACCTCTTTCAAGATGCTGCTTTGTGTTCAATTTTTCCATGTTTCAACCAAATTTTCTTTTCTTGTAATCTTTACCTTATTCTTGTATTTGGTTGTTCAGATAATTCAAATTTCATTTCGTCTCTCTCTTTATTTTTCTAGTACAGTTTTAAATTTTACTACTTGAGTCTCATTGCAATCTTATATAGATAGAATTTTTTTTTCTTTTGATCAAGCTATAGCAAAAACTAGTCATATTTACCAAAGATCCATAATATTTTTTGATTAATTTATGTTACGTTATAGAGATTTATGTAGATATAATCTGTAGTTTAATACTATGTAGAGTTAGCAACATAAAGTATTTTCAATAATTTTAGTTGTTCATGCTATAAATATGAACAACATCTATTATATTTGTAGATAATCGAAAAACTTAACAAGAACTTCTAGTGCAATTATAAAGTAGATAAATTTATCGAACTATGTAGATATTGTATCGTGTGATTACTTATTATTATTGTTGTTGTTTTATCTTTTTGCTAGATTCATTTCCTAGCCGTGTATATATATATTAAAATTAAATTTATTCTTCTAGTGATAAAAAATATTACTAAGGTGATAAAATAATGAGATATATAGAATACTTATATAATGTTATTAAATTAATAAGTATTTTAAAACATACACACACACGTACGTATAATATAGTATAAACATGCTGCTAACTTACAGATATATAGATCACTTAAAAAGAAGAAACAAAAAAGTTTTATTCAAACTAATATATTAAATTTTAATAAATATTAAGTAATAAAATTTAGAGGTAATTAAGTTTGATCAAAGGTAATCGATGTTAAGTAATATTTTTTTTATTTATAAAAAATCATTTTTTAATTAGTGGAGTTGGAATGGTTTGTGGATATGTTTTGACTCATCACAAAATTTCAAATGATATAAATCGCATGAATATTTGTTCTGTTTTTTCAATTTAATGAAACATTTCAGGCATGCCACCGAATTTCCAGCTTTCTTTGAAAAATGAGAGCTGGCAGAATTAAATGGTTTTAAACAGTAAATCGAATAATTAGTAATTAAACCTTCAAGCCAATATCAGAAACTATTGAATATAAGAAAAGAAACAAATTTACTCTTCACTTTATGTCCGTTGATGATATCTCTATTTATATAAAGATTAACAAATCAAATATTATAAGTTCCATCTTCTAATTTTAAAATAATTATATTATCAACTAATTTTTACTAGAAAAAATCTCTTGATAGCGTATGCATATCAAACATTTTTTTTCGTAGATTAACTTAGTCATTAGAAGATTTTTCAAATACAATAACAATTTATTTTATGGATGCTTATCATTAAACCAATATCTATTGAGCCATCTCCATAACACAATCAATTTAAATTGAAAACCACACGATCAACAATCATAATGTAAAGATCATCACTTTCTCACAATTATTTTTTTTAAATACAATAACTTTTTTTTTTTTTTTAACAGAATTGAATATACCAAGAGCATCAAAATAAATGAAAAAACACCAACATAAAAGAAATGCAACTAAGCCAACTAGACCAATAAAGAAAAAGTATTTTGGATGGTTGTAACATGTGTTCACATGTGGGAAATTTATCTACCTTGAATCACATGTGCAGTCCAGATAACTTGGTTATTTTTTCAATATAATTACTAATTAGTCAAACAATCGATGTAAATATAACCATAATTATATATAAACAAAATGGAAGCAATGAATGAGTGAGAAAACATATTTTTTGAGGCACTAAATATAACCATATTAAATCACAACTATCCATGTAAACGCCATTGTTGTCCAAACCTTAGCTATAGCATTGAAAATTGAAACCTTGAGGAAACATACCCTCCAAAAAAATAAAAAATAAAAAGTGCCCTTGCGTTGTTGGACTGTTTGGTATGTTGCCAACTGCACATAGAGGACACTATTGGCAACCTGCAAAGAATGCCAACCCAAACTCACAAGACCGAAGTGTAAAATACACCTGCCTCAGGTCCCAGATGCCGACAAAATGCCTAGCTCTTCTGTCTTGTCTACTCCCAATTTAATTATTTTTTTATGGGAAATTATTGTAGTTATAATTTATCAAGCAGTGCTAAAAATAGATAAAAAATGGTTAGGTAACGAAAGCCAATCATATCATCACCTCTTCTGTACATCTTCTGATCTATCTCTGACTCCTTTTTCACTTCCCTTCCAAGTCTTTTTTTTTAATTTTGCCTAACCATCAACCACTGTAGATTCCTTTTCTTCTATTTACTTTTTTTCTTTTTGAAAATTTAAACAGAAGGGTCTTCATTTTTTTATTTGCTAATTCTTTTTTTTTTCAAGGGTGATATAGAGTTCTTGGTTGTTATGATGTTGATGGGTTGTCATGCTTTTGCTTTGAGGGAATTCAGGCTTTTTCAGAATCTTTTTCATGCATGATCAACATCATCTTGTTGTCTTCTTGTTGGCCCTCTTTTGGCTTCCGGGATTTTCAAGAAAATTCTGAATCTTTTTGTTATTTGACGCCAATTTGGGTTGGAAAGATTGTATCTTTCTTGGAGTCACTTTGTTATTTCAGTACCAGAGATTCAGATTTCAGAGGTGAGACATCATGCAATATCTGTTTCTATGTGCCTCTTCCTTTCTTGTAGTTTGGTATTGTATTCATCGTTTTTTTGGATTTTCTGTTGTTTGCTTCTATCCAGAACATTGACTGAGTAAAGACATAGGCTTTATTGGTTTCTGATCTTTTATAAGAGTGCACTTTTTTCAATGTTGTCATTTGCTTCTTAACTTCTTCTTGCTGCTTTGGTTTGTATTCGGCATCTGAGTTTGAATGGCCACTCTTTCTTAAACCGTAATATGGTAATCAGTCATATGTTTAATGCTATTTGGATGTGGTGCATATGCGTTAACCAGACATTCTGTATTATAGTGTTTAAATTGGTTCTGATGATTATTTTTCCTTTCTCTTGGTAATGCAGGTTTCCTTGTTGACAAAAAGCTTCTGATTAAATGATGTCCAGAAATGGGATTAGAAAGCTGTGATTATGCAAGTTTAGAGTGATTAGCAATTGGGGTATGTGCTAAACACTTGTAACTGAACAGGGTTGCTTTTGATTCTGTCAGCAAGAATGTTGGTTACAAGAGCGGTTTGATTGTTTGGTGAGGTGAATATAATGAAGTTGTCCTCTAATTGCAAGTGTCCAATGTTCTTTGGCAGAAACTTGTATTCTATAACATGTAAAGGTCTTGCTTTGATTGTGATTGCTCTGATTCTTAGAATTGTGCTGCTTCCTTCACTCTCTGGCTATGTTGGGTTCGATAAAAACAATCTTGATTTGATTCATAGCCGATCTTTGTCCTTGGATTCTGATAATGGAATTCATAAAGATAAATTCTTGGAGGTTCCTCAGATAGTATGGGGACTAAACAATCAAAAGATTGCATTTGCAAGAGCTTGTCTAACTGCTAGAATGCTGAACCGGACTCTGCTAATGCCTAGTTTAAGTGCTTCCCTGTTCTACAAAGAAATAGATCGCCTTCAGCCTATTTCCCTCGATAAGGTGTTTCAATTTGAAAGGTTTAATTCGCTCTGTAATGGGTTTGTGAAGTTGGGCCGTTATTCAGATATTCGGAATCAAACTGTAGTGTATGAGCTACAGAAGGGAAGTGGGAGGAAGTGGACAGTTGAGAGGGATTTGGATCAATTGAAAGAGTTTAGCAAGGATCCATTTGATGGATATGAAGTAATTAGAATAGTTGGGAAGAACCCATTTTTGTGGCATGATCATTGGCCTGCTAAGGACTACGCCAGGGTCTTTGAATGCTTAGTTTTGGTTGATGAGATAGCTAAAGAGGCAGATAAAGTAGTGTCAAAGATTAGAGAAGTAGGAAAAGAATTGAGTACATCTCAATCTGCTCAAAGGGGTGTTGATTCTTACAGTTCTCCGTTGCAGCCAGTGCCTTATGTGGCAGTTCACATGAGAATAGAGATAGATTGGATGATTCACTGTAAGAAGTTAGAGCAAAGATTAAATGTTAGTGAAATTTGTAGTAGCAAGCAGGAGATCATGGAGAGAGTAGGGAACATTGTAGGCTTAAAAAGTCCTACTGTTGTTTATCTTGCGGTGGCAGATAGTCTTCTTGAAGATTCCTCTATACTTACTGGGTGGAAGGAAAGTTTGCTTCCTGTTGAGAAGAAGAAACTAGGTGTCGATGGAATTTACAAGAAATACCCATATCTCATTCAGTCAGCAATTGATTATGAAGTTTGCTCAAAGGCTGATGTATTTGTCGGGAACAGTTTCTCAACATTTTCAAGCCTCATAGCTCTTGAGAGAACACAGAAGATGATTAGAATGGGCATCACAAGCTCATGTGGCGCGGATGTAAGATGGCCTTCTTACGCGTACAACATATTGGGGGAATCCAATGCTCCTAAAAAATGGATGACAGATATGTCCGACTCAAGCCTCAAAGCAATCAGCTATGGTACTAATATCATCTCCTGCTGAATGTTATGGCATGAATCCTGTTGCAGCTACTAGGGTTCGGAATGTCAACGGAATTCCGGCATAAATTGGTTGGTATAGTTTTGGAAGGTTTTTCTGTAAAGAGAATCAAGGATATAGAATATCAAGTAGCAGTTTAGACCTAATAGGTATAATTTTCATTTATTCCTTTATTTAAAATCTTTTCAATTAGTAATTCATTGATATTCATAGAGAATGAATGTTCTTGTTCCCTGGCCACTAACTTTCTCTCCATGTGTTATATATGGTTCTAATTCGCCATTGCGAGAATGGCGATGACCATGAATAGCTGGATTTCTTTTTACAGTTTCTCATCTTTGGATGTTGCATATGTTGTCCTCTAAATTCTTTCCTTCCGAAAGAATATTACTATTGGCTGGTCCCAACTGATCATGTGTGTGTTGGGAACCTTTAGCGAAGTCCATGGATTTATATAACTGGATATCGCCCGTTTCTGCAATGCTTGGTTCAGTGACTGATGAACAGGTAAAAAGAAGAAAAAGAGAGACTTTAGAATTGAAAATTTTAGGATTGAATGGTGTTATGCAATAGTTACTGCTCTTCTCTGTATAATTTTAATGGTTGTACATAGTTTGATGTTCATTTAGAAAGCAGAGACTCACAACTCTTTTCAAGCACTAAATTGCAGGACTTCTTATCAAGGTAATGTACTGTTGCTTTATTCGACTAAATGGCAACTTCTAATTATGACCAATTTTTTCTGATGAAGTTGCAATTTTTTCTGTTGGTCTTAACTATGGTGTCCTTTTAAGACATACATTCTGTTTAACATGACATGTTATGTTAGTTGACACGTTTATCGGTTTTTGCTTAATGTGTATTGTTAATTTCGTTGTCTTATGAATTTGTCAAATCAAAGCTTCTCTGATGTCCTACCATCCTTTCGTCTTCATTACTTCATTTCGTCTCCGGGATTCGAGGATGGTAAAAAAAGGAAAAAGGTTAAAGGAGTCACCCTTCCTTTATTCCATCCAAAATACCTAAACAATCAAGGAATTAAGTTGTCGTGTGGGTCCAATGATGTCCTGCCATCGAAGGAATTTTTGGTGGTCCATTCTCTTGAACTTTCTTTCTTGAACATTTTATCATCATATTGTTAAGGGGACGTTTGATCCAATCTGAATGTGTATCGAGACTAAGTTATTTAATTTGAAGGTGCACTCTTTACATCGGTTAAAGTGTATTTGGAAGGAAAAAAAAATTTAGTGCATGCTTGTTAATCATATTGTTCTAAGATTTGAACTCAAGAATATATCAAACCTCTTTTCATCATATTTACAGCTGAAAAAAGAAGTGCCATAATGAAAGCTTGCTTGTTTCTAAATTTTTTTCTCTATTTTCGAGGATCAAATTTCTCCATGTATTTCTTTTATTTTACGGCAAATTATTGACATCAATTTGAGGGGTTTTTTTTTCCTTATAAAAATAATTTTAAAATTTCATTGCTACATCAATGAACATCATGCTTCGATAACAAGATAATGATTCATTAGTAAGTAAGTGTTAATTTGTAAATCGGTTTCGGGATTTAATTTTTATAATTAGCAATTTTAAGAATTATTTTCAAAATATTCGAGACGAGTGTATCGAGGAATGTCTTTTAAATGTTGAAATGATTAGTTTTGAGGTGTGTGAAAATTAGCTTGAGGACTTTTTTACTATTGAACCAAAGAAAAGCAACATCATGCTTCTAAGAAAAAAAGGAATGGCCTATAGCCATTTTTAATTCAGCCAGCCAAAAAAAAAAAAAAAAACCCTTAGGCTACAACACCCCCCCCCCCCCAACACACACACACACACACACCCACCCCCCACCCCCCCCCCCCCCCAACACACACACACACACACACACACACACACACACACACACACACACACACACACTGGACCACCTAACCTCAGAACAACCAAGATTTTGATCACGAGATTTTAATTCACCTCTTTCCCTCTTATGTTTGTGGCAAACTGGTTGTCTTAAACCCTATGATTAGTAAGAACAATGAAAATGGAGCAAGATCACGAGATGTTTTTTTTTTCTAAACCCTAATTGCTTATTGTGCTAATTTTGTGGATGAAATTTTAAATATTAAAATAGTAACTAACAATAGATACACCATGGACCTATTTGGAGGAAATATATAGATATAAAGAATTTAAAAAAATTACATCCGAATCACTAAAAATAATAAGAATAATTCTATTTAAACTCAATTTATTTTTAAATTTTCTCTCTTTTATTTTTCTCTTCTTTTTATGTTTATATTTTTATAAAGTGAGTATTGTTAGTTACTCTTTAAAGTAAGATAAAATCTCTCAAGAGTTTTAGCCTCCAAATTATTCAAATTTTAATTTTATTAATTGGTGGATACTGTACCTCAACAAAATATTTGGTGCAATTGGTCCCTAAAAAGAATTTTGGGATGAACTTGAGTAAAAAAAAAAAAAAAAAAAAAAACACCAACTTTTTAATTTAATTAGGGACCATTGCATTGAATTTTTGTTTAAAAATTATTTGTGCATTGATTACTAGATTACCGGGATTCCCCCCCCCAGCCTAAGACTATGAAGAGAGTGTGAAACACTGTAGGGTATATAAGATTCGAGGCAAAATTTATAACAAATAAGAAAGAAAAAAAATTATTATAAATAATATTTCAATTTAGTCCCTTGTGTTCAAAACTTCACAATATTATCCTCAAACTATTATTAGATTTTCAATCCTGCTATATATTCCTCCACCCCCGAATGTAGGAAAGTCGTATCAAATGTTGTTTTATTGAGTTTCTTAGGCAATATGAGCTCACATTCTACCCATCCATGGAAACCTTAGATCCTTTGATTAATTGGTAAAATTTTTATGTCATACCTCGACAACTGCAAATTGCAATGAAGTTTGGTAGTAGTGGTGTTCACGATTCAGTTTAAAGTGAAAAAACTGAATTGAAAAACCAAATTTTATTTTATTTTTTATTTTTTAAAGTTTTTAAATAATAGAAATAAATCAAAAACTCAATACTTTAACATTATTATAGATATACGATGGATTGAAAATGTTTATGATCTATTTATATTATTAAAAAAGAATTATTTTTTTTAAATTCGATTTAAACCTAAAAATCAAATTACTATTCAATTCGGTTTTGATTTTAATTTTGTAAGTTCAGTTAATTGAATCAAAATATTACAAAATCAAACCAAAAAATCGAATAAACATCCTGTTTTATAGTATAAATTTTTTATATTTATTTATTTATTTGGCAGTATGATATGAGAAGAAAATAAAGATGGTACATAGGTTGATTGAATGATTGGATCGAGTTCTATAATAATAAACATAAAATATTTTTATAGTTTACTCGGGTGCATGTTTTGCTGTCATTAACATCACAATAATTGCAATTCTCATAATATATATAATTAAAAAAAATGACCGAAAATTTTCAAAATATTTGCTTAAATCCTAATATATTTAAAAGAAAATACATAAACATAAAATAAAATATTCTCAAATATTTATTTTTTCTGTATTTTCATTTACAAATTTTGGAAAAAAATAATACTATTTTAATATACGATCCTTATCTCTTTTAGAAATTTATTTGTAAAATAATTTCATAAGAAAATAAATAAGGTGAAAATATATTTAAAAGATATCCTTCGCTCTTAAATTTAATCGATTTCAAAAAAAATTATGATGGTAGATTTTGTACTTAAATAATTTCCTCTACATTCTGAACAAGAATATTTTGACATGTATATCGTTTTACAAGTGATGAGCTAAAATTTACTAGGGAATTACGATCATTTATATTGAGAAGTTCAAATCCAATAAGATTTTAAGTAGGCAAAAATCAACGTACATTGACTAACCAGTCAAGAGTTGTAGATAGTTTAATGATCATTCAAACTAATCATCAAGCCCAAATGGTTCCCACACTCGACCACAAGTCAGTCAAGCTGAGCAATCTTTTGACCAAGATGTCAATATAATAACGACAGCCGTGATAGGTAACAAAAGATCGGTGTCATCAAGCTGTTAATTAAAAACGAGTTTTATATATATATATGGAGATTTCATAAAATTTAAATTTTTTTTATCGAGATTTTAAAATCTTTTCTATTTACTTTAAAAGTTATATTTTTATATTTTTCTTATTTCAAACTCTATTCAAACAATGACTCATCATGTGTATGCTTTAATCGATAATAATTTACTATGTCGTTAATTTAATAATTCAATTTGAACTTTCCATATCGCATGACAAACGGTCATTCATTAGAAATTTTCATGTATGTTTACATGATCTATTAGGATCTGAAACAATAACATAAGAGTAGAATTTTTATATTAGATAAAAAAAAAACTCAAAGTCTTAATTAAAAAAAATGTCTCGATATGTGCAAATTCAATGAAGAACAGGACTTCAAGACGAAAACACTTTTCTGTAAGAGATCATAGAAACACCACTTCCTTTAAAGTTCCAGATGCCTATAACGCAATTCTACGATGGAGTTATAGATCCCACAGATCATGTGTAAATACTTTAAACGCTCATGCACTTACAAGGTGAAACACCAGCCATCATGTGCAGTGTTTTCCTGATAATTCTTAAGAAGGCAAGATGAACATGGTAGTTAAAATCTTGCACAAGTCAATACTCTTAAAGAGGGGCCATAACAAAGACTACCTAGCCAAAATATACTTGGGTATGTCAAAGCAATCAACATCAATGCAGGTACAATTAACTGAACTTTAGCTTAATTACTATTACTTCTACTCAGCCAAGGGAAACACGTTGAGGACTTGATTCCTTGTTCAACTAGAAAAACTTGGTATAAATAATGGTACTACAACGTTAGATCAAGTTAACTAAAAAACTTGGTATGAATGGCTTTTGATATCCGCTTTATGGATTCAGCAATGCAGTGCCTTGTTTATGCGATAGTGGCTCCTCGTTAAAGTTTTTTTTTTTTAGGTAAGATATCCTAAGGTTAGCTGAGATTAATTCATCCTACATAGAGTCAATGTTAGTGTTCTAGGTTCTGTTTATGTCTAATGTTGTGTTATTTATTGTTGTATACTTGGAAAGGACATTGTCGTGTCTACTTATATTTTGTTTTTTTCATGAACTTCTATTTTTGGATAAATTTTGTTCATGAAAAGCACTATCTATTTGGTGGTCCTGATCACAGTACCAGGATCTGCAGTTGTCCTGTTTTAATTTGTTACAGTTCTTAAACTGCTTATTGGTTTAGACTCCATTAGGTATCATGATTTATCAGAAACCTAAAATGAAGCTACGGAATCAAGTTACAATGATTCCCCTCTTAAGCATTAAAGAAGAAATTGCAATTTTTTTCCCAAAAAAAATTGCAATTTATTGCTGCAGTTTTACTACTGCAGAAAAACATTTTCTTCTGATTGGACTCCTTGCAGAGGAAGCAAGAGTTGCTTCAGGATACATGTTCAGAATTATGTTGCTCAAATATGAGGTCTCAGAAATTTCTTCTGAATAATAACTGGACTCGTTGCAGCAGATACAAAGTCTCAGAATCACCAATTTAGTTAAGATTGAAGGTGCTACACTATAGAAATGACAATTCCAATTCATGTTGGAAAAAATATCAACGCTCCCATCACGCTATAAACCCTAAATACTATTAGTACGTGCATGGCATATACTAATCTATGATGTTTTTTATTCATTACATAGAGTAAATTTTGGGGTACTGATATGGCTACACATACAAAATGACACGAGTCGTCACAGAAAGGAATAGAATGACAGCCTCTCCATCAATTGCTGTCTTCCAAGGTCATATCCATGACCACTTTAAAAGGCTAAAGATTGTGGATGGATAAACGTTCCCCTTGGGAAAATTGTTTCTGATCCAACGAGAATCTACCCGCCTAACCCTACCCAAGGCGGGAACTAGAACCAATTGATTTCATATCAAAATTCTCAGGAAAGACTGAAATGGAAGACAATTGATTGATGCAACAAACAGTGACAATGTAATGATTCAAGACAATCATATTGCTTTGCATGGTTTAACAAGCTCGATTTAACTACTTATTTCAATAACTTCCAAGCACTAAAAGTGAATGCTTTCCTTCACGACAACAATTCACAGTAGAGAGAAAGGAAAAGATTAACAACTTTGTTTCATTTTCTTTTAATTAACTAATGTAATAAATGTTTTATCTATTTTCTGTTTCTTTCAAGAAGAATGCAATTTACTATTTAAACATTCATTTTCTGCTTCCATCTTATGGACCGTCAAGGTCACATATAGTCCAACAGAGATATGATGAAAAGACTATGAAGGAAAAAGAAGCGCCAATTTCTGCATTTCCCATGTAAGTGCAAACGAAGTAAATAGAGTGAGAAGCTCTTTTACCTCCCTTAAGCACTGTTGAGAAGATACGCAACATTTTTTCTAGTTTATTAGCAGTCCTATATCAGCTTTCATTGGATGTAGTCTTCGTAGTAGTTGTCACTTATTACAGAGACAAACCTCTCAAGCCAAGGAAGCTGATGGAGATCCTTTATGGCATCTACGTATGAGTCTGTACAGCGGGGTGGAGATTGGTATGGATGGTGGTCACTCAGACTGAAACCACCAGCAAGAAACCTTTGAATTAGTGCCAGCTGTGATCTCTCTTGTTCTGAGTACGCATCCATACGCATGGGTAGTGAGTTAAAAGTCTCCCAAGCCCATTGTTCTGATTCTTGAACTGATTGGGTGATCAAATCCTCAGAATTGCCTTCGTCCCAAAAGGCACATTGACAGGTCTGTTGCCCGTCCCTGTACTCAGCACCACAAGAATAACAGAACTCATGCCCACACCTAGGAAAAGACAGCAGATTTGGAGTTAATAACTTCAAAGAAAACATGCAGTTAAAGAAGCGAATGCAACCTCTTTATTACCACTTTAATACGTAAATGTGTAACTGACTGTTACATATGCACAAGCGAAAGATTCAAGCAAACCAATTTACATGATCAAAAGTAACGGCGTGAATGAATGCCTTTTTTACAAACTTAAGTCCTCTCTGGCAGTGGTATTTCAGCAAAATGATTGGTAGAGACACTGAAACATGTATGGATGTTTGAGATTTTCATAACATAGTAGATGTCATGACACGTGCATCGATAAATAATAAATGACCAGCATCACAGTTCCATCTATCACTCAATTTCCAAGAATAAAAACATGGAGTTAGCAGATGATTTTGTAACCATTTAATCAACTTCAAACCAGCACCACACCACACACCATCTATTAAAGAAAAAGGAAGAAAGGAACACAAAAGGTACCCAACTTACCAGCAGGTCATATGGTAGCAGCCTTGAGAAAGCTCAATCATCCTGCGGCACTGTTGACAACGCCTCCATCTTTTATTTTGTGCCAAACGATGCAAGGTAATGTCTGCAGCATCCCTCTCCTCTAATGGGAGGTTCTGGTACTCTTCACAGCTCATGGAAGAATGCCAAGGAACGCCACATTCCACACAGAGAAACCTTTGACAAAGAGGGCATTCAATATAGGTATTGTCAGACTGACTTGATGAACTTTCCCTAGCTGACAAATGTTCTCGAGGATCAATCAGGACAGAACAATTTGGATACGGACAGTAGATTCTATCTGAAAGGAGAATATCAGCTTCAGCCAGGGCTTTCTCCAGAGATTCATATGAAGTGAGAGGAAGAAATGATCTGCATTCATTGATGGAAATGCAATATTTGCATCCCAACTGAGGGCATTTGATTGGTACTTGAGATGACTGTACTTTTCCATCAACGTAGGTCTGCATACAATGTGAGCAGAATTTATGGGAACATTTCATTGTCATCATCATTGGCGATATCTTATCCTCGCAACAGATAGAACAGTTATCACGGGATTCACTCCCATTGGCCGGAAAAGAAACAACCCCAACTGCTACCTGTGCTAAGCGTAATGGCCTCTCAAGATCAAAGCTCGGACTGAGTTTCAGAACGAAAGCTTCCAGGTTGCTGGCATGTTCAAGGATCCTTTGCCTTAGTGCTATCAGAAGTGGAACCTCAAGTTTCTCCTCTTTCGTTATCTGTCAGAAGTTAACATCAACTAAAGCCACACGGAGAGCATGTACACAACAAGATATTTGGTATCAAGGTTGCAATAGATGGTGTAAACAAGGTGAACTGGTAGCAAAATCTTTATTACATAGATTAAAGCCATGAGAGATAGCTGCTATAATTGGAAAGCAGATACAGTTTGAGAAATAAATCAGTGTTGCAAATATCAAATTACATTTTCGTTCCACTGAAGACAATTAGCACAATATATAACAATCAGAATCATCCTCGATATTTATTTCACCAAACTTGAGTGGCTGTGTTAGTCACAGAACAACATAGAATAACAAATATAGCTGGTCCAGAGGTATATTAGAGATAAGAGCCTATGATAGAGATGTCAAACTAGTAAAGCCTTTCCCTGTTCAGATTACTGAAAGTAGAAATGATTTAAAGCTCTAGATTCATAAAAGGGAAAAAAAAATAAAAAAAAATAACAAGCCTTGGTCTTGCATTGCGAACTCTTCGAAATGGGGTTTGAGAAGATACAATAATAATGATGGTTGAATATAAACTCCTTTTTTTTTTTTTTTTGAAGGCCAGAAATTATTTCTATAAGGATTGTATTCTTTCTTTCGATGCAGCAATACACTATCAAAGCCACACTGTAATTTCACAAACAAAAACGCTTTGGCGACACTTTTATCACAAAAAAGTTTACTCAGGTTCTCATCAAATTACACAATCATAGCAAGTTGTGTCTCCATTGTAGAGAAAGGAAGCAGAAATCTTGAAAAGTGAAGACGCACCTGATCGTATAACAGTTCAGAGTCGGTGAACGCATACACGCGGCGGATATTATTCTGCATAGCCTCAGCAAGACCATCCATAAGAGCCAAATAGTCAGCAACAGATTCCTCCACATAGAAATCAAGCTTCTTTTGCACCTGAATAACAGGAACATGTTCAGTCCTTTCCATGACAACACCAATTCCAGAGAACCCAGAACCAGAGTCCTCATCCTCAGCAATTGACATCCCTTTGAAAAACATCTTCACTGAAAATTCATCAAGATCTTCCTTTGGCTCTTCCTTCACTATTTCTTCAATCTCTTTCCACACCTCTTCATCTTCACAGCAACTACGAAACTCTTCCTCGTCCTCCTCCAATTTCATTTCCCCCTAACTAAACTCGCTGAAGAACCATCACTAAGAGCTGCTTGACCCTCCATCTTCAACCCTATTTACTCCAAAATCCAACAGAAGCCAACAGATATTATGATTTATTTATATCAAACTCTGATCGAACCCCAGAAACAAAGCAACCTAAAACTCCCTATATCAGCATCTGTTTCTTTACAAATCACAAAGGAAACTCCATATCAATAACATGCAATCTCTTAGCTCCCCCTAAACTTGAGGGAAACCCATCAAAGAATAGATCCAAAAATCCAAACTTTAGCATCCACTCCCCCTAAAAAACACCAAAAAAGATGCATGTCAAACAGTGACCTCAAACCTGCTAATACTAAATCAAAATCTGAAAAAAACCAATTAACAGATCAATCCAAAGCTTTAAACTTTACTTATCATAACCCTCAAGAATACAAAAAAGAACCACCCAAAATAGCAAAGATAAAATCTTTATCACAACAACATCAATCAAAATCAACCCAATAACCCTTGTGGCTCACAATCTCTCCATTTTTTTGAGAAACAACATGTCTATATAACATAACCAATACTAAAAGGATTAAAAAATAAAAAAGGGTATTAATTAAAAAGACAAGAAATGAAGCTTCCATACCATGTTGGTTGTAATGGAATTTAATCTGATGATTCCATTTATGCGTGTCTGACTCTGTTCAAGAGGTAATAAAAACCCTAATCTGACAAAAAAAAAACCCTTTTTCTGTTTTCAACTCAGCTTTATATTAAGCAAAGATTAAGGGATAAGGAGAGAGAGAGTAAAGAGAGAATCAATCAGTGAGTACTGTTAATGTTGTTGGCGTTAATGGAGTAAGAGAAGGGGAAGGAAAGGCCAGCATTTGTTGTTTGCTTTGCTGGCATTCTTTGCTTATTCCTAGACTTTTTCTTTCTTTTTACAACATTTCGTGTACTGTTTAGTTTTCTAAATTTTTAATTTTTACAATTCTCCAGATTCCACTGTTTAAAAAATGGTCTCTTCTGCCAATAGCTGGTCACCTCGTACCATGGATTCACTGTCGTAAAGTATCAAATGATATTAATTATCTTAATCAGTGAGGGTAAAGAAAGCCTTTTTTTTTTCTATTTTTTCAAACACTTGCTGAACTTTTCATCAAACCCAATTACCTTTCAATTTCCAATTTTTTTATTTTAATTATTCGAACTATCAAATCAAAACAGTTGACGGCATCTGTTAGGTTTTTGTCCATTTATCCCATTAAATGAAACGTGATGCGTACATGTGTAATTATTCCCTTCTATTTTCTCGTCCAAAAAACCATTTGTTAGTTTTTTTGAAAAAAATCATCAGTTTATAATAAATTTTTTTTATCTAATCAATAACTGGAAAATGGAAATGTATGAATTCTAAGTTCACACCTTATGGAATGTGGGAACCAATTTCAGCTTCCCCTTTCGTTCATTGCAAAGAAAAGCAAAACAATCTATGTACTAACCAAATTTGACTCCATTGACATGTTCTCTTTCTCTTTCTCTTCTTAAATTGTACTTAGAACTCTTTTATATAGAAAGAAAAAAAAAGTAGATTCTGCAAAACTCATCATTGTTTTTACCGGTTAATGAGCAAGTTCACTAGGCTTTAAATTAACGCAATAGGTTAGCTCCTTTTCTTTTTATAAAAATTCCACCTTTTTGTGCAAGTAAAATTCCATGGCACCAGGTGGCTGTAATAGTTTTAACTAGAAGTTTTTTTTTTTTTTTGTCCTTTTCCTAATATTAAAGGAATTTGAACAAGATACTAATCTATGATTTGTTTTTTTTTTTAGTTTTATCTAGATATCTTCGTTATATATTAAAAATAAAACTAATCATGTTCGAAGCGAAAACGATAAGATTTAATCTCTTCTAACAAAAATAATTTTAGAATTTAAATCGCACACGTTAATAAAAAATTCACGTGAAAACCAACTCTTTTATTCTCTTCTAATTTTTTCGTCTAAAAAACCATTTGTTAGTTTTTTTTAAAAGCATAAGTTTATAATAATTTTTTTATATATATAATCAATAACTGGAAAATTGAAATTTATGAATTCTAAGTTCACACCTTATGGGATGTGGGATCCTGTTTCAGCTTCCCCTTCCATTGATTGCAAAGAAAAAGAAAACAATCTATGTACTAACCAAATTTGAGTCCATTGACATGTTCCCTTTGTCTTTCTCTTCTTAACCTGTACTTAGAACTCTTTTACGTAGAAAGAGAAAAAAGTAGATTCTGCAAAACTCATCTTTTTTTTTTTTTTTTTTTTTTTTGGTTAAGAAGCAAGTTCACTAGGCTATAAATTAGCACAATAGGTTAGCTCTCTTTCTTTTTGTAAAAATTCTACCTTTTTGTGCCAGTAAAATTCCATGGCATCAGGTGACTCTAATAGTTTTAACTAAAAGTTTTTTTTTTTTAGTCTTTTTCTTAATATGAAAGGAATTTGAATAAGTAGATTATAAATGGATACTACTCTATGATTTGTTTTTTTTTTTAATTGTATCCAGATATCTTCATTCTATGTTAAAAATAAAACTAATTATTTTCGAAACGAAAATAATAAGATTTAATCTCTTTCAACAAATATGATTTCGGAATCTGAATTTTTTACATTTATAGAAAATTCACATGAAAACTAATTCGTTTATCACTGAACCAATATCTTTTTTTATATAATCTATGATTTGTATGTATACTTTCTTTGATTAAAGTAAAAAGCTAACAACTTTAAAGGATCGGTATGATAAGTAACATGCAAACAGACTTGGATGGAGAACAATCTAGTTAAACTTTTTTATCTCCATAAATTGGAGATTAGGTATCAAATGTCGTGTTCCATGCAAGGAATAGTAAGGTTGGAACACCATGGGAAAAGCATCTAATTGTCACTTCACCACAAATTATTTACATTTTCTGTGAAAATTGGAATCACAAATCATACTTACAATATTCTTTTTCCCTCTCTTAAAAATTTATGCCTTCCTTTTTTCCATTTTTAATCTTACAATTACATAATATTTTTAAACAGGTTTTATACATCAATTTTAAAAAATTAAGAATTCACAATAAATATGTCAAAAAATATCCAAATGTCTGACCACTCTTGGATATTGTTCTTCTTCTCAAACACCAATCCGAACCTTTAAACATGAAGTTCAAAAAACTACATTAAAAAAAAAAAAAAAATCAAAGATTGTGGAGACAGAGAGATTGGATTGTGAAGGCAGACCAGAGCAGAGCACATGGGTTCTTTGTCCGTTTAGCAAGAAAAAATGTGCGTTTGGTTTTGACTTTTTCAAATCCCTACCATTATTTCTTTATGAAAAATAATCAACACTGCAATAGAAACTCCCACGAAAGTGTTGAAAAATGAGACAATAATGATTACCCACTAACTTTTCTATTAATTATATCATACAATAGGGTTGATGATTTTGTGTATCTATGATGCACATATAATTACCCTTGCCTTCCCATCCACTCTATCTTGATGATCCACAAAGTCCTCTTTTTTTTTTTCCTTCTTCTTGATGATCCAAACTAGGAAGTGGCTCAGTAGTGATTTTTGGATAAATTATAATATTTTTTTTAAAAAAAAATGTGAAGACATAAATTAGCAGACCATCTAAAAATTTATAGATCTGACACCAAAAATTCATGTATGTTCATGAAAATATTATAAAAATCTATTTTCATATCCAAAATATCTTTAATATTTTAAAAATGATAGAAGAAATTTTAAAATATCAACGATATTTTGAATACAAAAGAGATTTTTTTGTCATATATTTAAATATTAGATGATTATTCCTTTTAATGTTAAAAAAAATCATTCATTCTTTTTATTTATATCTATTTCAAAATATTTATTTACTAATGTATTTTACTAAAATATTCTTAATTAAAATTTATTTTGTAAAAAAAATTTTCAAAAGCAATCTTAAAACAAGATTATTTTGAAAAATATGAACAAAATATACTAATATAAAAAGATAATTAATAATTTTTTAACATATGTGAAAAGTTGAATGGCAAGTATAATTTTATGATATTTTTTAGAATTATTATAATTTACTCTTAGTTTTTTTTTTTTTAAGAAAAAACAAAAAATTAGGATAATCGTAATCATGAAAGTTATGGATGCAGGAGAAGTAATAAATGGTTTTTGCTGTGCTTTCCATCCATTAATTAAATGTTAGAAATGATTGAACCTCAATCACTATCAACCATTCGGCGTTTGATCATCGTGAATTCAACAACAACATTTATTGCCTCCAATCAAATTTTGAAAATCAACAAAAAATATATTTATAGTCCTCAATTAATTAAATCATTTTGGCAGAGTCTCAGAGAGACAATTGACTTGCAATTATCTTATTTTGACCAGAGTGACTTCCCTTTGGAATTAAATCAACCTCAAAGTACATTTGGAATGACTCTTCACACTTTTAATTTTTCCTTTGTCTGTGCCTTATACGTGTAAATTTAAGAGTTTGGTGAGATAATCAAAGGAGTAAATTATAAATTAGTTGATCTTGTTTCAAAAATAAATAAATTAATTTTTTTAAATAATTATTTAGTCTTTAATGTTTTAATTTTGTCAATAATTTAGTAATTTCATCCGTTTTTGTTAAATTATCGATTTTTTTATCAATTTTTTTTCTTTTAATGTTATATTTATCCTAGTTATTCATCCATATTTTTCTCTCTTCTCAACAAAAAATAAAAAGAAGAACAATTTGAGAACAAAAATCATTAATCTAACAAAAAATTGATAAAATAACTAAGTTATTGACATAATTAAAACATAAGATACTAGATGGTTGGTTTTTTTTAATGGACTAATTAATATATATGTTTCGATAAACGAGAGAGTAATTTATAATTTACTCATAGTAAATAAGATGTATTTTTTTAAAAGCTTGAATCTTAATACTAATATTTAAAACAATATTTCTCTTAATACGTGGATTGATGTGAATAATATTTATTAACGTTATTTGATTAGAAAAATTAGTTTTAAGGTACTATAAGCTGGTTCAAGAATTTCTCAAACTTTTGGAAAAAAAAAGGGTTTTCAGATATGCATAAACCACCAATATATAAATAGTAGAGAGATAAATGATTTTTTTTTTTTAGAATATAAAAATTAAAAGTGTTTCCAAGTTTTTGGATCCCATTATATGGAATTTTTAAATTATTGATCTTGTAATAAACGAAATAGTGTCTAAATAAATTTTTTGTTAATACGTAGATTTCGAATTCCAAAATCACACATATTAAGAAAAGTTAGATTTTATCGTTTTCGCTTTAAGTAAAATTAATCATATCTTCAATGTGAGATAAGGATACCTAAACAAAACAATATATATCAGTGAAGCTCGGCAGCATTCAATGTTAGGTTTTGTGCATCATTAAAGTTCAAATTGTCCTCGTAGTGGTAGGGTAAGAGGTCTCATAGTTTAGATATCTTTGATAATTTTATAAGATAATACAGACAAAGAGGGCATCAAAAATATAATTGCTGGTGACAACATGATAGAAATCCAACTACTGAAAGCTCAAATAAACACTGTGACCATGTAAAGACGTTGAAGTGTGTTTTTTGGACTTGTGCTCTCTTTTCTTACAAGCAACTAAACTTTTTATTATATTGAAAACCGTAGTGTCCACTTTCTGCTACTGTTTTTCATATTCTTTTGGTAGCTAGGGTAGGTATGGTTGGTAGTGCAGTTGTAACATGCAGATATATGGTAAACAAACATGATTGAGGAAAGGTTGCCCTAAAAATAAAATAGACGCACCTATATCTTTTTCTCATTGAAGATGGCCAACAAACTTGTGATCCTTTGTGTTGGATGTATAATTATTTGTATATGGCGACAAGGAATCAAAAAATTAATCCAAAGACAATGAAAGATGTACTAGTATATACTGTTTAATTTCTGACCATGTGCCACCCCAATCGTCCAACACTGAATTCAATGATTGGACCAGATAATTTTCCATCTTTCTTTGTTTTTTCTTATCCTTTTATATTCTTTCGTAGATGACGTTTTTTTCCTTTGAGGGCATAGAATTGCCATGCTGCTACGGGCTTGCTTAGACCAGCAAGCTCATATTTCTTTCAACCTAGAGGTTAGCCTAACTCAAAATGAGGCTGGTTACGAGAAGCCCATGCAATTGCTGCTAACAGATACGTAATCAAAGATTTTCATTGTTGGGCCAACTCTATTTATACTTTCGTTAAAAGAAACTGAAAACATCAAATATTATACCGTTGAAAAATCTAAATTATGAAACCTCGCTTTCATTAAAAGAAATTGTCGAACTAAACACTCATACAACAACACAACTTGGAACTTGTAAAAAAAGGGAAAAAACAAACGTAGTTAACTTTGAAGTAGTTATCTGACATGGGAAACTTAATATATAGGTTCCATGAGAAAGTAATTAACCATATATATCATGCCCATTTTGCCATTACAGACATGCCACCGGCACCCAGAAGCACAGCCATGTAAGATTTAATCTGGAGCTTGACGCTACCTTGCAACTTTGGACCCATAAAATCGGCAGCAAGAAGATCAACCAATGCCATGTAAACCAAGAGCCCAGCAGAGGATGCATTGAGCAAACCAACAGTGACCAATGCAGTGGGACTATTTTCCTTGTACGTTTTGGACAGTCCAATACCAAGTACAATTCCAAAAGGAGTTGTTACTGAGAAAAAAAATGCCATGATTGCCTTCTTGAAAAGCTTGTACTCAGCCTATTTAAAGTAAAGCAAAAAATATATATTATGTCAATAAAATATATTCAACTGTGATTATGCATGAGTTATACGAATTTATAGAGAAGAAAGTGTGTATGATTTTTTAAAATTACCTGGAGAATGCATCCTCCAAGACCCATTCCTTCAAACATTTGATGGAAGCAAAGAGCAGCTATAAGGCCTTTGATTGAGCAAGTGTTGTTTGAGGCTCCAAGAGAAAGGCCTATCACAATTGAATGAACAATGATGCCCAATTCTAATACCTGCATGCAACCAGGCAAGCATGTATTAATCCAAAAAGCTTAATAAATATTTTTACATATCTTTAATTTCAAGCCACCCACCTTATGAATTGGGTCAATTCCAACAATTTGTAGTTATACAAATAATAAAAATTTTGTCCAAATATATCAAATAGGTTAATATATATATATATATATATATAGGGATCTTCGCAGTTTTCTTTCTATATTTCAGACATATAATTATTATGATCATATTAACATATATTTATCACAAAAAATGATTAAAAAAATGGCTAAGGATTCATGATAGCAACTTAAGAACAAGCTAAAAAGAAAAGAAAAGGAAGTTATTAGAAAACATGGTAATTCTTCTAATGTAATTTAAATTAACAATTCTATACTATTTTCTTTTTTTCAAAATTTTGAAGAAGTAAAGAATTCAAAGTAATATAAAACACGATTAGTTTTGATGAATATAAAAACTAGAAGGATAAATATCCTTCCTTTTCATCCATCAAATTTTATAATGGCCTAATTTTTTATAAATTTAAAAGATAGGATCAAAGCTAGAGAATATCATTTTAATAGTAAAAAAAGTAAAAAGATTATCTGATTAAAAATAAGTATACGTACAAATAAATGATCTCACTTGCTTGACTTTATCATAAATGTGTATTTGACCATATATATAAAACATCCAAAATACTTGCAGCTTGAATCCATTTTTTTCCCTTAAAAAACAAACGCCTTTTTTTAAGGGGTCAATAGACCATATTTCATAAAACTTGGCTCTGCCCCTTGATCGACTCAAATGGATATATTTGTTTTTTTTTTTTTTTACCTAGAGATCATCACCTCCATGATGATAACCATTTTGTTGTTACCACAAAAAAACTTAATTTACTATAATTTTCAACACATAGCACCTACATATGAGGAGTAAGAGCAAATCTGGAAGTGTAGTTAGAGATTATTAAAAAGTAGTAAATTCTTTTGTTCAAAAAAATATAGAATTTCAAGTGGATACTGAGAAATTTTATAATATATAAATAGTAATTGGTGACATATACGGTAGTTACTCTATGGGCTCACTTTAAGGAGAGAGATAGACATACAGAGAGAGAGAGAAACAGGAGAGAGAAAATAAAAAAATTTAAACGGACGTGAAAATATTCTTAACACTTTTGCTGGGTATAGATGTAATTTCTATCTTTTTTTATATGTCTATATCTCTTTTCAAAGTTGACCCATAGAGTGACCACTGTACATATCACTAGTTACTCCTGGTGTATTATAAAATTTCTCGTGGATACTTGTTAGTCTTTTTATTTTGAAAGCTTTTTTTTTTTTAAGTATTTAATACTTTTTTCTCATGTCCTGACATATATATGTATCCCAATTGGATGTTCTTCTTATTTTGAAAACCGGAAACTTGATAATTTTAAAGAGGATTTTTGCATGGACATAGAATTTATATGCACAAATTTATTTATTAACGTATCTACCTATATTAATTTTATGAAATCTATATTAGTTTATGTATAAAATTATAATCTAGTCTAAAATGTCTTTCTAGAAATTAATGAATTATAGTTATGTGAGATAAGAAAATAATACAAAAATCCTCGAGAGAGAGAAGAAGACGTAAATCAAGTCAAAATGAAGAAAGAAGAGGATAAAAAGCTAAATGATGAAAAGAAATAGTACAAACATGAACGGTTTTTCACATCCCATTATATTTATTAGGAAAAATCTCAATTTCATTCCAAAACAAAAACGTTTATTAAATGGTTCCTTAACATTTCAAGCATTTCTCAATTGGATCTTTCTATCCATGTCTGTTAATACTTTCCATTTAATTTGAATATTCATGGAACCACAAATTTTCCATTTTGAAGAAAATTTGAAAGAAAAAGAAATACTAGCAAACAGGAAAAAAGTACTCAATTGGAAATGGTCTGAAACTTTATGTCCCTAATTGAAAATGTTTTTGGAAGATATTGAGAATTGACTAATACCTTAGGAGTTACTTTTGCGGTTTCCCTACTTCTTAATAGTTTAGATACATCTGATTAAAGAATAAACAAAGTCATCATGAAATCAGCTAACCATGGCAATAACACGGTAACGAAGCAACTGTGTTTCGCCAACAGCAAGTTTGGCCTCACAATGGTGCCCATGACCATGGAAATGTCCAGCGTTCTCCATAGCCATCTCTTGATCTGGTCTGGCACCACGAGCATCACTCTCCGGGTTAACTCCAATAGTAGCCTTCTTGGTATATACACTAGTGGCCATTGAATCCACCATTAGAGTGATTATGGCAGATAACATTGCGACAAACCCAGTAAAGGGGAACTTGTGCCATGGATTTTCAGATAAGCAACTTGAAGACAGCATATCAAAAGAATCTGGTAACACATGCATGAACCCAGTTGCAAGAATGATACCGGCAGCAAAGGCTTTAACAATCACAAAGAGGCTTTTATCTGGGTGTAAAGCAGGGACTGAACGTGTAAAAAGAGGTGCACTTACACCTATCATGCTAGTAATCAAGATTGAGACAATAGCTATTATCTTTAGGGTTAAAGCTCCAGCTTTGTCATTGCAATCATTTGCTTCTTCTTCACATCCCTCTTTTACTACTGATTGAGCTTGAGGTGTGAAGAATGTGAGGATAATGAAGAAGATGGAGATAATTAGAAGCTTTGGATTTGAATTTGCCATTGATGATGATGACTCTCTAGCTATATACCTCTTAGTATTTGGTACTTGAAAGATTTTGTCTTGCACTTATCGGTTCATGTTGTCTCCTTATATAGAAATTTGCTTGCACCAATATTGTTTGTCTCAAATGTTAAAAATATAAATGATATGTTCAATGCATGGTTGCATAGTTTACTAGGAAAAAATATTGCCAACTTGCATCAATTGCATGAAGCCAAAAATGGTTAATTCTAACCTAGGATTTGTGTGATTGAATTTATCTGGACTCATTTCTAATGTCAACAGAGGAAAGAAATAAAAAAACAAGGGTTTTTTTTTTTTTTTTGAGACTAATTAACAATGTTGACACATATGTTTAATAATACAAGAGTTTTTCATTCTTCATTGCTTCCATAGAAATTTGAGATTTATTTCTTCTACTAAGAATATTTACCAAATCTACTAGAAATTGTATTTAACCTTTTATTTTTTTTTTTAACAAATGAATGTTAAATGTATAATAGAAGCCGTATAAGTCATTATATTCGCCATTATTTAAAAAAAAAAAAAAAAAAACAATGTTGATTGTGATGTTAGTGAGTAGATATTTTAAAAAACAAAATTTGAGATAATATTGGTTGAAAGGTCACTAATTAAATACTTCGCTAAATTTTCTTAATCCAAGTACTGAAATCGTCTCCTCGTACATTTAATCGTGGAATCAAGAAGCAATTAAAAAAGTGATGTGTTGTACGGGCTTTTTGTCAACTAATAATTGTGTTTTGCATTGACTTCATGCACCAATCACACTCTCTTGATCCTATAAAATTGCATTACGTGATCAAGGCATGTGTCACAATGTGTGTGCAGTACAAGGGCTTGTACCCAAATCCCTCATGAGAGAACGTATTTAACCATTTGATTAGGGATGAGTGTGTAATCCTCGCGGTTTCTTGTGTTTATTGTGAGCTTAAACCATATATATATATATATATATATATATATATATATATATATATATTGATGATTCATCACATTGTGAGATATATACTAATGATTAGGCTAATTATGTGACCAAATCCAAAGGTCATTCCTTTATTGTAAGTAATTTTTACTAAAATGTAACACAACCCACTTGTCAATTTCCTTTTGAACACAATCCACTTATCACAAACAACGTTTATTGTGTAAAATGTGTTAATTAGTGCTCAGTGTATCTTTAGAAATTTAGTTTTTCTTGGTAAACAGATTTATTTTTCATATTATTATTGTTATTAATGGTTGGACTTTCAAGAAAGAGGCTGGGTTAAATTTTTTTGGTTAAATGGGCAGTAAAACCTCCTCTAAATTTTAATTCATTTAAAAATTAGTTTTAAAATTTTTAATTACAAGTTTGACTTTCTTAAACCATTTTTTAAAAAAAAATTCAATACATATGATTTTCAACTATCACTCATCTCTTTTTTAAAAAATTCAGATCTTTGTATTTTGAGGTAAAGTTTTGCACACACTTGTGAGAAAACTCAATTTATTTTTTGAAAAAATTCTAGAGTTTTTAAAGATTAAGAAATATATTTATTTATTTTTTAAACATTATAAATATAAAAAATAAGAAAAATAGAAAATGATCCGGCATGATTTAAAATTTGTCGGAGAGCTCTAGATAACTCGTTACTAAATGATTTTTATCATGACATTATTTATGTGATTGTTGTTTTTGATAAAAATAAAATAAAATAAAATATGGACTAAATCTCTTAAAAAAAAAAAGTCTAGAGAGGTCAAATTTGAAATTAGAATTTCAAAAATTGATTTTCAAATAGACTAAAGTTCGGAAGAGGTTTGACTCATTTAGCTAAAAAAAAAATGATGAATCTATTAGTTTAAATAACCTATTTAAATCCAAATTAAAAACTATTATTAAATAATATAAAGCTATTTATAAGGCCTCATGAGATTTGCAAAGCTTGACTAAGGACCATCTACTCCAAATCTATCATAATTTAAAGTACTGATTATAGAGATATATTATGTGGCATGTACAATCACTAGTTAGTTATGAATTAGTCTGTGAGTGAGCTTTATTAGTTAGGTGTCTTAGTTAGTTAGTTACTTGCTAACTTAATAGTTCTTGGTATAAAAGAGAGAAGAAGTTATATTTTTCTTTTGTAACTTGCATCATTCAATAGAAATAATTTTTCATCCAGATTTCTCTTTATGTTTGTTAACATGGTATGAGAGCCTAACTCTTAGGGTTTCATTATTGTTCATCACTTATGCTCTTCTCTTAATCTTTCACGCTCTTCATCAATGGTGTCGCTACACGACGTCGGACGGGACTCCCAAAAGAAAATTAAAAGTCCGTGTGTTAATTATTTATAAAATTATTTACGAGTTTGGAGTCGCCACCTAGTATTTAAGGAACTAGGAACCTAAAAGTAACACTTGGTTCGGAGATTCCTAAGGTAAGGAGTTGGTTATGCTTTTAGGAAGATATTTAATCACCTAAAAGTGCCCTTTTAAAAAAAGGTATCATGTATGATTTAGTTCTAAATTCATCTCCTAAAATTCAATGTCAAACTATTTTCTAATTTTAAACTCTTATTTTTTTAGACTAAGTGAATTTTTTAGTTTTTAGGCATGGCATCATATTGAAACGATCGTCGATCCCCTTCGTTGGGTGACACATCGATTCAAACATCGGATCCACTAAAAGCCTTGACACAACCGGTGTGTCGAAGGACGTCTTAATTAATAGGTGATTTTTGGTGACGTCGGCCCTATCAAATAGGAGGCTTCATCGAAGATTTTAAATTTGGTGACGTCGGTCCCTATTAGATAGGAGACTTCGTCGAATTTATTTATTATATATATTTTTTTATGGCGTCGGTCCCTACCAAGTAGGAGGCTTCACCCAAATTTCTAGGCATTTTTTTTATGACGTCGGTCCCTATCGGATAGGAGACTTTGTCAAGATTTTTTTCTAGCAATACATATTGAAGAAAAGAAAATAAAAAATTAAAATAACAAATCTAAATTAATGCCTAAAAACGACAAGAAATGAAAATAAACGAGGCTAAAAAAATTAAATGAATAATAAAAGAAAAAAAATCATCCTATATAAACGAGTTAAAAAATAAATGAATAATAAAAGTAATAAAAAGAATCATCCTATACCTAAAATATTAACCCACAACTTTTACTCTTTTTTTCTTTTTACACGCATCCCCTTTTTTCTCCTTTTTTTCTTCTTATTTTTTCTTCCTTTTACTTTTTTTTCCTAATTCTATTACCCCTCTATTTTTTTGAAAGGTGGGCCACGAGCTGGACCTCCTTTGTTTTTTTTTTTTTTTTGGGTTCGAAAGGCACGAGCTGGACTGTGATCGATCCGGCCCATTTTATTTTTTTATTTTTTTTTAAATTTATGGATCAAGCTGGATCAGGCCCAAATCGGTCCGGCCTTTGTTTTTTACTCTGTGGGCTACAAACCAAAAGACAGGCCCATTCTCTTCATGTTTCGATCAAACACGTTTTTTTTAGTTTCGATTCTTTCTCTCTCCTGTTCTTCACATTCTTAACTTTCTCTCTTTGTTCATCATCATTTCGTAGAAATTGAAATTCCATTCCAGATCAAAACAAAACATTTGACTAGCACATCACATTCAATATATTTACTTCCACTAGAATTCATAATCTAAAGTTTAACAACAACAATCAAATTATTGAAAGTGGGAGGAATGGAAAACTGGAGAGAAAAAAAATGTGAACAGATCGACCGAGTGGAGGGTTGTTATCCGTTGGACAAAAGATGGAAATTTGAGGTGGTTTCTAAAAGACCCAAAGAGTTTTCAAACGCTCAAACGAGTTCACCGTTGATAGATTGGAATTTAACGAGTGGGATGAACACCGAAGCAAAACCCAGTACCAAGAACATTCAACATCGCCTAGAAAATGAAGAATAAATGCCCAAAATATTCAAAGAGGAAACTCGGTAATTGAAGAACTCGAACCCAAATTTTAAGTAGGATTGAGCAATACTCTAGGATGGAAAATCAACGTGGAAAACACTAAGAAAAAAGACTGAAAGAGACCATCGGTTGATGAACTAAAACCCAGAACCCCAACACTAAGAACATGAAGAACCCAAACTAAGAAAAATAAAAAAAAACCCGAAAAACCCAATTGCTAAAAGATCAAAATTTTGGTTTTTTGCTTTTGATTTTCACCCTCTACGAGCCCGGAATTCCTCTCCTAATTTTTTCCTCCCCTTTCTTCGTGAAATTCAAAACATTTTATAGCAAAAAATTTCCTAAAATCGAATCTCAAATCTCGAATTCTTTTCTCAAAATTTTCCTCTTTAATTCATGATCAATGTGAAATCAAAACAGGAAATTTGGTCATTGCTTCATGTTAGTGTTGATTTTGGCAACAAATCCACGATTAATACACAATCAAAAACAAGAAATTTGTGGAAGATTTGGGCGATTCTCCCAAAGATTTTCGAAGAGAATTTACCTTGGAGTGAACGACATGTTGTCTTCTCTATTTCGATCCTGTCATTCACTTCAAACTTTCAATTTGGTCATCGCATTTCAATTTTAGCAATTACGCCCCTCCGTAAAATAATTTCAGCACAATCTCATCAATTAGGTCCACAGGAGGTGCAATTTAAGGCCTAAATTTTTTAATTTACTCGATTGCACCCCTAATTACTTCAATTGTGTCCTTAAATGAATTTTGTTTTTGTGTTTTTCATCATTTTATTTTTTCTTCTTCTTTTTTTTATTAGTAAACTTCAAAAAAATAAAATAAAAAATAAGAAAAATTTGGATTATTACGAGTTGCCTCCTCTTTACAATACTTATGGCGCAAAGTCGAGTGAAAAGGATGCTTTTCACTAACTTTGTTTAATAAGCTTGTAAAGAAAAGGTTTTTTTTTTTTAAAAAAAAGCAAAGCTATAATGGGATGACTTTAAAAATTAAAATGCGATACGTGACCTTATTGTAAAGGGCAACCTACC